TCGGTTCGTCATGAGCAAGCCATTCTCCGCAGTCTCCGCCCATATGCCTCTGCTTGTCAAAAAAATGTCGGCCTCACATTTTCTGGGAACAAACACACATTTAAAAGTTGTCTCACTCGCCTAGTGAAGCACTCGGATACTTGGGTAGCACAGCATCTTCGAACGTTATCCTGATATCATCGAACACAAATTACAATTCAGTAGCTTTTTGGCTCTGATATGAACATTGATAGTCTATTTTTAGTTGTCGCCAACTATGATGCAGCCGTCATCAGACTGCCTGGCCAGCCGTGACGATATCGTGTCCCACCAGAGGCTGTGGCCATCACAGGTATGTTGTTTGATCAAGGCGTTTTCTGCATAAAAGCTAAGCTTCATCAACAAAACAGATCGAACATCACAAATCCTTTCAGCGTCTTCCATACGCGGTTTCATCACGCCTACGCCCATGATGAAACTCAGCTCGAGCTCATCCAAATCCAACTTGTCGAAACAACCCGAAAATCATGATCCACCGGCCTACACTTCATCGTTATCTGGCCCCTCTCAGCCTGAATTCACGTTCACAATTGGGTCGAAGAAAATTACAAGCACGCTTGTCCAATTCACCGAAGTTAAATCGCACCTGGCGTTACTACACGCTTTTCATGAGCTGAGGACAGTGGTTCAAGCTGAAGAACATCCATTTAGGGGACCTGGTGTCCCTCAGGACGCTGAACGACGATGGGGGTGGTTTGTTGCATTGGCAGTTGAACGGTGAGCAACCTGTATCATTTGGATTTTGAAATAAATGATACACGGAGTTCCGATCGCTTATAATGTCGCTTGGAATTGTCTAGATTTCATAAATGGTGTCAAAGCCTCGTACGCGGTTTAGACTCTTCACATTCATGGTCGACAATCATGCCGCCTATTGATGTTATCATGGTAAGCCAATTTTGTGGAATTGGAGCTACATACGTTCTCAGTAATGTTTTTATTGGCAATAGGTGTGGCACGCTTACATGCTAAATCCCAAGTAAGATCATCTAAACACAGAATTGGGCCTTTTGGTTGTCTCATGGACATTAAATTCTTTGTCGCTGCACAATAGATGGTACGGGGAAGATGGTCTCAGAGGCACGACCAAAGCCCTAAGAGAACTTGATGGGCATTTTGCTAAAGCCTTGGTGAGTAATACCACCTTCAGATCTATGTCACAGGTAATGAATCTTAATTTTCGTGACATATCTCAGCACTCGACCTTGCATGAATATCTCGCTGCGCTTCCTTCACCGACTCGTGTAGCATTCTGGGAGATGAGGACCAGTTTACCCTTCCACTATGCGTCTGCGATGACAAGTATGATTCGCACAGAGATTAAATGTCCTCTGTGTCTGGGTATTATTTCTGTTGGTAAATATGATCACCTTCACGTTTAATTGAATTCCTTACTCATATAAGTCGGCAGATTATATGAAACAAGATGGCACGGGATACCTACAGGAGGGCTTCCGTGCGTCATGTCCTAACGGATGTGGAATTGGGCATATCACCAAGGAGAAACTCGGCGTCCGGAGGTTTGCTGATGACCTCTCTGATCCTTTGGCTGTTATCGCGTGCGTTACATTACCTACAGTCCTCGCAGCGATGCAATTCATGCTGACATCATATCAAACATATTTTTATCCATCATAGTGGAACAGATTTTCAAGCACCGTCACACAAGGATCGCTTCTTCTCAAATGCTGCCCAAGTTCGAGTCCTTGAAGCTGCTCAGATCGAAATTCCTTGTACCATTGTCGCCCAAGAGGCTGCGGCAGTTTCCCTGATGAAATGGGCTAATTTCAAGCTGGAAAAGTTGGGGGGTGCCATGGTTTTTACTGGGCCTGATCGAAGGTCAGTATTTAGCATTTTGCATAATTATTTTTGAGTGGCAACCTATAGACATCCTTTTAGATGTGGAAGGATTTTGAGTGCTTATCGCGACGACAGACCATATTCCCTGGATCTCGCAGGCGCTGTGCGTTTGGTTTAATAGATGAATGTAAGGGGTATTGCGCTAAATACGTTGTTTCAGGTGCTAAGACAAGCATCATTCGTTAAGAAAATGTATGATCTGGGATGGACACAGCAAGGTGTCTTCGAAGGTTTAGGAAATGAGGTTGTCCTGCAACATGCTGTCGCTCGATACCACGGGTATGTCGAAGTATTCCCGCCAGACTTTAGTATAAAGATCACTCATCGGATTACTACTGTTCTCACCGCGACAGTTTTCTTGACCTTCTCTCTTCATCACCCACCTCCTTCTATGTACCAACACTCGACATCGACCTTGTCTGGCATACGCATCAGCTTTTATGCGTCAGATATGAAAAAGACACTGTCTGTTATATAGGACGTTTTATCGACCAGTAAGTCGATTTCTTAGGATGTTCTAATTCTGATATAGATTTAATTGAACGGCAAAATGCAGCGACGACAAAGTAGAAGGCCTCCGGCTTTCCAACTCGTTTGATATTACTTGCAAGGCATGGAAAGACAGATTCAAGGTTCCCTATACACACTGCGGGTGTCCACATCCCGGACAAAAGGCTGAAGACCTCCAGAAATCACACAAATCCATTGATACCTCCAAACTGTTCTCTAAAGTACTTCAATCTGCCTCATCTAAGATCCCAGTAACCTCGCACACCAACCCCGATATAAACAAAGATGACCTTGTACCGCCCACACACCGATCCGATGCTCTGAGTGCATCTCATCCCAGCGATCACAACGCAGTGCACTTCTCAAATCCACCGATAGTCGCAAAAAACGGTCGTGATATTGGGAAGTTCAGGCATCAGAGAATGGTGAAGAAATACGACAGTCTGATGAAGCATCGAGCACAGCGAGTTAAGAAGCTGCAAAAGAAACGCGGGGTTTTGGTGGACAAGTACTCTTCCTACGATTCAAGTAGTTCTGCTACTAGTAATAGCAATGACGAGGACGATGACGAGGGGGACGACTCAAATTCAGTGATGCCCCATCGACCGATAGATCCAAAGGCAGACCCGGACGACGATGCCTACTCGGCCTATTACAACTCCTTTCTTGCACCTTTTCCAGTGTACTACGTATCTGGACGTACGCAAGCTGACCCAATTCCAGCACCCTGTGTTGCATCTCAAGGAGATGTCGTCTTCTCCGCCGTGGCGGGTTGTGGCAATGTACGTATGTCCTTTCATCTGCCAAAACACCATCTAACTCTAAAATCTGCTATTTAGTGCGGCTCCTCAGGTGATTGTGGCGGCGGTAGTTGTGGTGGTGGCGGATACGACAATCTTCAATCGGGAAATTGCAATGCTGCAGGAAGCTCTTGCGGTAGTAATTATTCCTAAATTTCTTACCAAGCGTCCTTGACCGTTATGATATTGAAACGTTCCTTGCATTGTGGTTTAATTTCAAAGAAAGTAGGGTTTTCTGCGCAACTCGGCACGTCAAATTGTTATACCGCATGTTGCCTTCATTCAGCATATTCATGTTGAATGCTAGGGACCCCGAAACGTTGTTTATGCTATCTAGAACCTCCACCGTCATATTTAAGATATGCCGATGTCATAGCAGTAAACGTGGCTGCCCAGCCTTTAGCTGCCTTTCAGCTTGACTCGGACTTCAGTATGGGGACAATGTTCTATTGGTAAGGTTTTATGATTGTTTAGGTCAGTGTCGGAACTTACCTCCTATACAAGATTTCATATTTTCTCTGTAGAATGTCAAAGAACTGATGTAAGTGTTCACAAATGAACTTAGGCCTCATATTGTGCTAGGGGCTGGCACTGTTGCAAGGTGGAACTGACCTGTATTGACAACCAGTTGACACTGATTACGGTGACAATCAAGGGTCCTCTTCCTCTTTAATCGTTTAAATAAGAGGCTGCCCTTGCGACAACATTGTAACATTTCTTTTCAGGAACGCATATTCCATGGGACGCCGCAAGTGGTCTCCATTTCGCGAAGTTGGCGCCGAAGATGCGATGGTTGAGGTTGACCCACCTCCGCCGCAACACAGACACGGGTGTTATAGCTGGAGATGCTGGTGTCCCGAACTAGACCGACTGGTCACCATCACAGATAAGCACCATCTCTCTCCCTACACACTTGAGTTCGCCATCCAGACGCTACATCTACGGTTTCCTTGCACCGAACGCGAAGGAGTACAGAGGACGCTCGGGTGGATACGACACAATACCTGTGCGCACTGTGAGTGCTGGGATCGGAGATGCTGCGTCTCGGTCGCGGAAATGAACATCGCACTCGAGGCATTCCTCCAGTGGCACATAAAATCGGCCAACAGGCCCCAGCATCAATTAAAGTCGACCATCCCTATAGCTCCTCCTAGCTGCCCGACCGTGTTTCATAGCGGCTGCACCGTAACTAGCTGCTATGAAACAAAAAACTACAGGTCCGCCCCAGGTCCCGAGCTGCTAACTGTCCAGCACTCGGGTCTTCAACCGGTGGACATGCCCCAGGTGAAGGTACTGAGGGAAGAGAAGTAGGTTGCTCCACCACAGCTGCGTTTAATGCGCCACTGACTTTTGACTATCAGGAGAAATGCTCTTGACAGCTACTACTTCGCGATGATCCAGTTCCTCTCAAATTAAAGCAACATACAGCACAGAGAGGATAAAGGCCTCAATGCCAGTGAGGAATACCACCGTGAAGAAAAGATGATAGATAATAAGAAACCGGTAGAATCTACAGCGATCGCCACATCAAACTCGCTTGTTCTCGCTGTCATTCTCTTCTCAGAATCACGGACGCCCCTATGTACCAGTGAACATCGCCGCATAAGGCATTGCAGCTCTTTTTTGTCCTGCCTTGTATCATAACTTCCTCTTAATATATTAATATTATTTTCCCTTCTTTTTTTCCCCTTTGACTTCAGCAATTAGAATCAGGGGCCCATCTGCGCACTGCGCAATACCTCGATGACAAGGTGGATCGCGACTTATTGTGCCTCGACGTTTCATAAATATGGGCTTTTGGCACAGTGGTAGCGCGCACGCTTCGCATCAATTAGTGCAACTGCGTGAGGTCGAGGGTTCAATCCCCTCAAAGTCCACATTTTTACATTTTTTATCTTTCACACCAATCACGCACGATTGCGCCTGTGCTCACAATCGGGAAGATATTTCTAAATTATTTCAAGCAACTTTCGTCTTCAACACCAACTTTGACTTTGCAGGGCTCAGTCGTTCCCGCCTATTGTATCATTCCTGGTTCGTGCTCAGGAGCTAGACCTCGATAATTCTCCCTTGAAGAAACAGACGGATGGTACACAGCCCTGTTCGGATTACCTCCAACGAACGGAGTGGGTGGACTCATATTCTTGTCACTATTCTGAGTCCCGCCCAAGTCAATCCCTCGCCGGACGAAGGGGTCGACGTTCGCAACTTCAACTTACATCATACAAACTACCCTACGACCAATGGCAGAGCTAAAGCTAAAGCAGAAATCGATCGAATAGACTGGAATGGGTCTCCGCATGTCCACCCCCTGGCGAGGAGGAATACGAACCCGCGTAGTGCACAACGACATCATAGCGGAGCTATTTGGAGGCACATACTTTCGAGGGCTGTTTATAAGGATTTGAAAGCGGAAGAGGAAGAAAAGAAATCAGGGGTCACGAAGAACACGACATCAGTAAAATCAAGGGATAAACGTGGTTCTGGTGGTGGGGAAGCTTTGAGTAGGATGGAATGGGATGGCTTGGACTGTGGGACGTGTCGATTCCAGGGTGTGTGTGAAGTACACCGGCAAAGCAATAATAACAAAAACAACAAACCGACACTGGGTGTTGTTGAGGACGACTGCAGCCTACTGGATATTCAACATTGGCGTCGGTTTGTTCGTCTAGAGTGCATGGGTCTTAGTGGGGTTTTGTTCTATGAGTTGGCACGTCCTGCTCTTCAGTCTGGCGACTGTGAGCCAGTCAATACGACCCACCCTCCATCACAAGCGCCACACCGTATTCATGGTCAACATCAGCCTCTCCTGACTCTTGAGAGTGTCTTCGGCGACCTCGATGACCCTACCTCGCCCAGCATGCACGTTGATGACCTTCTCGATGCTGTGAAAGCTAAGGTCTGTTACTTCCCGACTTACGCATGCACTTCGTTTGTCGTAAGCCTTATGCATTGTTATCATTTACTACCTCAACTTATGGTGTCACCGTCTAAAGGCTGGTCAAGCGATGTTGGCATTCTATCGAGACCAACCTGAGCTACGCCCGATCCCCTGCGCGGACGGCTTTTGTGTTCGATACCCACCTTCCATTTCGCCCAGAAAACCAAAGACCGCGAAGGTAAGCGCTGGTCAATCCAAGAGCGCTTCGTCTTCGTGGAAAGACGGTTCGGAGACAGCACCCTTTCTCGGGGACTCGCGCATGGGAAGTGCGTCTATGAATTTAGATTTGGATGAAGAAGATCCCTACAGGATGCTGTTGATCCGGTCTTGTTCTCATCCCATTGTCGGTCGAAGTGGAGTAGATATGGCGATGGCTTATGGGAATACCGGGAGCGTGTCAATGGAGGAGCTCGAAGACGTGAAGGAAAAGGCAGACGCTAAAAGGGACTCTGGGTATGGGTCTATCACTGGTATCCTGCGTGACTCGGATGCCTTCGAAGCAGACATTCCAGTGGTGGAAGGTATCGATGACCTGACCCTCGACACCATACTGCCCCTTACGCCATCAGACATCGGTACCCCCCGAGATAAGGACTCTAGAAAGAAGATCACGACATTCAGCAATCGGAAAAATGGCTCTTCGAATCACAAGAAGGCGCCGAGACTCTTGCCCACACGCGCCAGTCTCACCAACATGACCAACGTTACCAGCGCCGGCGCGGCGGATACTGGCTACTTGAAAATGAGCGTGTCGACGAGCCTTTCGAAGCCTTTTGGAATGGCGGCGTCTATGCCTGCAATAAGCACCATGATGTCAAGCGTTTCGAGTGCGTCGCATATTTCGATGTATGATACCTTTACGTCGTTCTTGGACTTTCTGGAACCTGATGATGGGGAGGGAGCAGAAATGGATGTAAGAAGGGTTTAACGATGGCGTGATGAGCGTCAGGCTTAAGTCTTTTATGGCGAGAAGGGAGAATTATGCCGCTGGGAGGGTTTTAATATCAGGTGCAGTTGAGAGGCCTAAGGGCTAAGATTCATAAGGAGGGCCTGCGCTTGAGAGTATGTGTAAAGTAGGAAATTGTTCATACTATTAGGGTACAAAACAGTGCTATCATCCACATGCATCTCAATTAAGCTTGTCCCTTTGAATCCAAGAGAACAGATCACGAGCCTTAATAGCGCCCCGTTTTACTGGGAAACTATCTCGAGAGGGTCAGAGGTACTCATCAATTACCAAGGACTGGAATACATACCCGAACATTAAACTCAAACTCGAAGGGTTGATGAAGTAGGGGTCGGAAGTCTGTATCTGGCAAGGCCCTATATAATTGTTCGAAGCCGAGTTTCTTGGCTAGACTTTTATCAGGGAGCGACACGAGCATAGACACTCGTTTGAGGCTCTTCCAACCTTGTCTGACCAAAACGTTGGTCAGGGCTTTCCATTCCAACAGAGAGGGGCAACGGCAATTGAGGGTGAAGACAAAAACTTCTACATCCAAGGTCTCCAGAACGTTTTCGGGTTCCATTTTTTCAAGTGCACCGCAGAGGCCAAGGAAGGGGTCTTGTAATGACTGAGGCACCCAGACCTTGTAGTTGACGTCCTTAAGTGTTCTGCGTTGAGATGGCAGAATCATGCCAAGGAGTCTCGGAAAGGTTGGTACCATCCATTCTGTGAAGATTGTGGGTATTCGAATCTGTAAGTAAGCCATCTTAAATAGTGTCAGATCGAAGTACTCACTATCTCCTGAAGCGACGATTTTGATAGCGATGTAGTCCAATCGGATACGGTGCCAACCGGGCAGGAGCCCATACAAAACCTCAACGAATGGTCGGTACGACTCTATACCCCGAAGATCGATAGCCAATGATTTTAATGGAAGTAGGTCTAATGGTTCCTGTCCCGTGTCAACGGGATAAACGTCCTCTAATGCCGGTAGTCTATCCTTAAACTGTGCATCAGGATCAATTCATCGGAGATCCAGAGTAGAAGAACGCACTTCTGGAGCAAAATGAAAGCCTTCTATTCCTACAAATTCGCAGCTGGAGTGATGGATCTTTATGACATGTTCAAATGCAAAGCGAAAGCCCATTCTTAAGTCGACGTCCAATTGAAGAAGTACAAGGGACCGCATTGTGAATAATGGGAGAGCAAGTACATTGAATGGTGGAAACTGGTATCCATGTATAGCGTAGTCACTGGGACGAATATCGCCCGTGGTCAAGTAGAGACGATTAAGGTTCTTCGTGTCCTCGAGGATTCCTGAGATTGCATGCAGGGCTTTAGCCGGAGGACTTTCTGCCATAACGTGCAACTCCCTGATGTAAGACGTGATACTGGGATAAGCTTGTAGATATTCGATAGATTGCCGAGGACTATCGGTATATATGGAAACTTCGTGATTCGTGAAGACAGCTTTGCGCGCGAGATGAAGGCAGCCAGAGGAAACCAACCCGATCGCGTCAATAGTCTCGTAGGACCGATCATACTTCAGGTGCTGAATGATCTCCTCGACGATGTCCAGTGGCAGCTCATGGGACATTATCTGGAATCAGCTCTGATAGACGTAGGTAAAAGGATCCACTAGTCGTTGTTGATGGTGGTTGAATGTTAAGAATCTTATCAGGGCTTCTGGGATTCAGCGCCCATAATCGAGCCGTGAGTATATCCACTCGTGATTGAAAGAAGTTCTGACGCAAATAGTCGTCTACATAAATTCATTGAGCACCACACACCTGTCTGGGTTCCTGGCAGCATTCAGGTACCTACTCAACCACTGTTAATCCTTACTTGGTTTGCATCTATGGCTCAGAGGTAGAGCGGAGATTGTGGTGGATCCGTCCTAAGCGTAAGTAACATTTAACCTTGAATATATTATGCATATTATGGTACCTGCGATGAACCATGACCAATATTAAACCACTGTACAATTGATTCATCGTCGATCAACAAGCGCGCATTACTGAACCAAAGATTGAGGGTATTCCCTGTAGAGCGCATTGCGGACGTGTCAGGGTCGACATAAGTCTCTTAGATGAGGCGGCGAATAGCCTTCAAAGCTTGGGTCCTCAGTAAGACCTAGGACACCAGAGTCACCGACACATGCAGCAACTGGCAAGCAGCAGTTGGATCGCGCCCGCGCCCAACGACGCTCAGGGGACGAGCATAGCAACATGTCCTTTAACAGAGGTATTACTGGGTGCCACAGACGGAAAAGAGGTGCGCGCTGTGACACCATTCGGCAGAGGTATACGCTGGTCATAGCACCTGTTCACTGGAATGCCAACTTTGTGATCAACGACAAGCCGAGGCTTTAATAAACCATTCCATAGGTGATATGAGAATTTAAAATCCAGTTAATGAACTCCTGCCCTCCATCAGAGGGGTGATCCAAAGAACGTCGGCGAGAAGAGAAAAACGATAATGAATGGAAACACAGGTGAGGTAGCGGAGATGTTCATCATTGGCAAAAGAGAAAGTAGTGACAATGTCAGAACAGCATCGGGAGCGCATCTGGGAACAACCCGAGAATTCCAGCAGCTTGCACCCAACTTTGGCGACCCCAGATATACCAGATGAAAATCCTGCCAGTTGAGAGCACTTGCATTCAGAGATAGCGTATCATAGAAGCAAGAGAGCAATAGGTGAAAGACAGGAGGATGGTGGTAGTAGCTCAATGTGCAAATTGTCACAGTGACACATCCTCCAACACGACGCCGTCACACCCCTGCCCGAGCTTCACCTCATGAGTGCGTCGTTCAAAATTATTACGACCTCAAAAAGATTAAAATAAAATAAAGTATAGCGATATAAATACGAGCGTGCAATAAACTGTCATACAATACAAAATCTAAATCATACACTAAATTAATACAGCAATCGGGGAAAAAGTCTGAGTCGAATTAAATAGAAACTATATCGACCAGCGATGGGTT